CTCTCGAGATGTGCTATAAGAATATGCAATGAAAAATGGGGTGTTCCATTTAAAAAAATTAATGTGACCTTGACCTGACCTTCGCTACGCAACCCAAGGTCAAACTGATGTGATCAGTAAATACATCTTTTTAAACGCCACAACTTTTGTCTGAAACATTTTTTTGTAAAACTTATATTTTTCCTGATATTCGGGCGTCCCGGTACTTTCCGAACACCCTGTATATATATATATATATATATATATATATATATATATATATATATATATATATATAATTTTGATAATTTTGTAATGAAAACATTATAATAATCATTGTACGTCCAAATGCGATCATTTACCGCGTATGAATTACTTCGATTTTACAGTCAGAAAATAAATAATAATACGATTAAATTCAAGGATGTTCAGAAAACAGAGAATTTGACTGAGCAATCAAAACAAAGCAATCAAAACAAAGAGAGCAAATGGAAAAGATATAACTTTCGAGCAAACAAATTTACTCCAGACTTCTCCTCCTATATAAAGAATTGTACAATTGAAATTACATACAAGTATTCTGTTTTCAAACTTTAGAACAATTTGGTTTTTAAGTTTTGATACTATTTAGAACATTTTCTATATTATAGTCTTAGGCAAACAATAATTTAGTTAATTAACTCGTTAATTATTTATTAACAAAAATGTTAAACTGGTCGTACTTTTTTAGTTTATTATCTCCGATAATAGTTTATATCAGTTGCTGGCGTATTTGATCTCGAATATGTACCCCACTTTCTTCATCCCTTGCAATATCATTTATATGAATGTGTTGATCTTGAGCTTCTAGTTCAGGGAATTCATCGTCCATTGCAGGTTCAAAAAATTATAGGTCCTCTGTTTCGTACGGGCAGAGTACGGTGGGCGGCCGTGTACCAGGCGCCGCGATATTCGCGGGCATCCGCCTGCCGGCATTGTTTCGCGCCGTCGCCGCGTCGCGGCGACAGCTTCGGCGGCCCGTCGCTCGCAGGTAAAACTTAACTAAGCGGCTATATAAGCCGGCGCGGGCGACTGTTCATGGCCTTTTGAGTGCGCGTTGCACGTTAGGTCACAGCCTTTAGAATTTCTACTTTAGCACGTTGGCTTACATCGTACGAGTGGGAGTTTTGGTAACTTCATAGATCTGTCCATCTCCTCGACACTGCTAGTGGGTGAGAGAAGATCTTTCCAGATTGCTTTGCAGCCTCCGCTACGGGGGGAGGGTGCTTATTTCTGCGATATCTCGAGCACTGCAGATATCGTGCGTCGTCCGACAGGACTTAGGGTGCTATTTCACGTGTCGTACGACAAGTATTATCGGACATGCCGATTAGCAGTTAATACGCATGCGGCTGTCCGTGCAGTCACATTTATCGTACGACATGAAATATAAAAACCTGCAAAAGTTATGTGTCCAGTGAAGGTTATGTCATATATGCTTGCATGCTATATTTTGTGACGTGGCAGCCGTGGAGGCGCCCGTCTCAAGAACCCCGTACCGATTAGTGAGAATGTTTATCGCGTGCCGTGTCGCTAACGGTTTTTCGAGACCTTGCCGAATATCGCGTTCCGTCGGATTGTTTGTTGTGAAGATCTTAAGACAAAGCGAAGAAGCGATTTTTGCGAGCGGAGCAGATGCGGAGGTCAACGCGTCCCGAATTTTGTGCCCCTCGACGTCCCTTGCCGGCCATCAGGACGAGGAGCGGAGGACATCGAGGAGGGAGGAGGCAGAGGACGACAACGAGCGAAGCCCTTGCTCAGGTGAATCGCACTCTCGTACTTTGGTGATGCAAATATATTATCGCGAATTATCGGGCGCTCAGCAATAGAGAATATTCTATCGCCGAGAAGCTATCGTAGTTATAATACAGTATCGCGCTTAGACGGATCAGCTGTATTTACTTTTAGCGAAGCAGCCGTCGCGAGAAACCCGGCAGGAAAAAACGGGAGAGC